GTCGTGTAGGTCGATGACCAAGTAACTGGACTAAAATACTCTGTGCGTGCATGAGTGTCAATGTGTGAGTGTGTGTGTGTGTGTGTGTGTGTGTGAGTGAGTGTGTGTGTGTGTACGTGCGCGCGCGCGCGTTTATTTGTGTCTTTTTCTCCAGCCAGTCCGTTCTCTCTCTCTCTCTGTCTCTCTCTCTGTCTCTCTGTCTCTCTGTCTCTCTCTCTCTCTCTCTCTCTCTCCCCCACCCCATACTTAACACTTTCTCTCTCTCCCCACAACTCATCCCCAACACTTTCTCTCCATCCCCTCCAGGTCGGATTTGTCTTCGTCATGATCCTCATCCCCTGCTTCACCCCCCCCCCCTTACAACTCATCCCTAACACTTTCTCTCCATCCCTTCCAGGTTGGTTTTGTCTTCGTCATGATCCTCATCCCCTGTTTCTCCCTGTTCGGCTCCGTGGGGAACGTGCTAAGTCTCCGAGTGCTGGTCCACCACCGGATGCGCAACTCCACCAACATGGTGCTGGCCGCCCTGGCCGTGTCCGATCTCCTGTTCCTCCTGCACGCCGTCTACTTCAGCTTCCTCAAGCTGTACATCAGCCGCAACCAGCCGGGCGGGAACCAGCTCAGAGTCATGACCTTCCCCCTACTAGGCCCCTACGGCAGCGTGGTCACCGCGAGGATCACCACAGGACTGACCACCGTGCTCAGTGTGGAGCGACTCGTCGCCGTCTACTTCCCCATCAAGGCCAAGGTCATGTGCGGCCGGTTCATGACGGGCACGTGTATCGTGCTCATTTACATCGTGACGGCCCTCGTGTTCATCCCCAACGCCCTCAAGTACCACTCGTGCTACAAGACGGTCAACAACCACACCATCTTCACCATGGAGCTAACGCCCCTGGGCCGCGACAAGATCTTCTACACCGTCTACGGGAACGTCCTCAACGTCATCTTCCGCCTCATCCCCATCCTCCTCCTCATCCTGGTCAACAGCCTCATCGCCCTCGCCATCCGCCGCACCTGGTCCATCCGGCGAACCATGTCCAGCGGGGGCTCAGCGGCCTACGAGCAGAACCGTATCACCCTGATGCTTCTCATGGTCTCCTTGGTCTTCCTCGTCTGCATTCTCCCCGGGGCCGTGCACAGCATCGTGAACCAGGCCGACAAGGAGTACGCGCGCTTCGGAGCGCAGAGCAACATCCACGACGTGTTCGGGAACGTGACTTACTTTCTGGAGACGGTCAACTCCTCCATGAACTTCTTCATCTACATGGCCTTCAGCAGGAAGTTCTGCCGCACTTACAAGCAGATCTTCTGCTGCCGGGGCCGCGGGCAAGCGCGCAGACATCCGAGCCATCCAACCCCGCGCGGCTCGGCCAGATCCGTCATCCGGTTCCCCTCCCGACCCCAGACGGGATCCCGCTCCAGCATGACGAGCTACCGAGAACTCTACTTCCTGCACCACCTGGGCGGCAAGGGTTTGAACCCGCACGACAACGCCACCCTGACCGCTGCTGCCGCGGCTGCTGGCGCTGCCATGACAACGGCCGCGGGCGCCGGAAGTGCTCGCAGGCTGCTCAACGGAAGTGCCGGCGCCGCCATGTTGCCCCCCGGCCCCGCCTCCCGGGGCAAAGAGAAGGCGGGGCGGCGTAAGAACGGCTTTGTCTGTACCACGGGAACCATTCATGAGGAGGGGGGGAAGAGGATTTTCCGGAGCAAATACTCCTTGACTGATAGCCATAGTGGGAATAGCCACAGCGGACATAGTGGACATAGTCATAGTGCTGGACATAGTCACAGCAGCCACAGCGGGGGTAGCGATGGTGGTGGTGGGGGTGGAGGGGGAGGGGGAGAGGGGGTCGGTTTCCACCAGCACAGCGGACACAACCTGTCACCAGGCGGCGCTCACAGCGGCTCTGACCGCGAGCCCACGGCCGACGACATGTACAGCTGATGGCCACGTCACAGCACCGACACGATGACGACACGGCAGACGACATGTACAGATGATGGCCACGTCACGTCACCGACACGCCGACGACATGTACAGCTGAAGGCCACGTCACAGCACCGACACAGCGACGACACGCTGACGACATGTACAGCTGATGGTCACGTCATGTCACCAACACAGCGATGATACGCCGACGACACATTGACAACACACCGACACCATACCAACAACACGCTGACAAAACGCTGTCGACTTTCACGCAATACTGCAACAACACCGGGAAGATAGTGATAGGTTTTCTGAGAGCGTCCGCGCGGAGACATGAAAGGAGACAGCCATGATCGTCGGTGTCTGTCTCCGACCTGGCACTTTGTCACGACGAATCACCCCCTACTTGAGCTGCTGCCGTCTGTCCGCCGAGTGAGACGACGTAGATCTAGTGGGCTGTTCAGAGAAATGTGCGCGCGGAAACTTGGGAGACGATGTGGCAGACAGGGGGGTGGGCGTGGCAGAAGTTGGAGACTTGTTCTTCTGGGGCCGACCCACGCTGCTATAGTGGCTGTAGGTACTCTGTATTGTGTTCACAAATTCCCGGCTAAAACAGTGCCTGGACTTGGATGGCTTGTGCCTCTTTAAATAAACTATTATCACTGATGATGGTCACAGACGCCTCCTACCTCGCCCCCGCCCACAACTGTTGTCCACGAGACTCTGTCATGAGCAGTCTGCCCCCCCCCCCACACCCCAGGTGCTGACGCAGAAAAACGTCACATCACGCGATCCCCAGCTGATGACATCACAATGACGTCACATCGCCGTCAAGTCTAGCGCCCTACTAACCACAATCTAAGTCTGTTCTAAGACACAAAAAAACATAACGTGCACCCCCCGCCAAAATAAAACAACCCCACCAGGGCACAGGGAAGAGACCGGCTGATTGGACATGCTTTGTTGTTGTTGTTGCTGTTAAAAGCAGGTTTTCTTTTTCTTCTTTTCTTTTCTGTTCTTTTTTTTATGTTGTTATTGGGGGGTTTTTCCGCTCCAACCGGCACCGTTGAGATAGACCATGAAGAAGGCGGGCTTCCGACCCTGTCCGTCTGGGCCAACCTGGTCTTAGTTTTAGTAAGATTTTTACGGCACTTGCAACACAATAAGGTCATATAACTGCCGAAGATTAGAGGTGTTACAAGAGAGTAACATACACAAAGAAGGAGGAGGAGAGATAAGGATTACAGATGTTTGATAGGAAAGAAGGAGCAAACAACACTAGAGCACCTGTCAACCACCCACGGGCCAACGTGGGTTGAGAGGGAGGTAACATCCCAGCAGAAAGACAGAGACCATCATCATCATCCGGTGCCTTGCCGGCTGGCGTGGGCGGTCGTGGACCTCCACATCACTCGGTCTGGCTTTGCAGAGCAGCGATGGTGTCTGCCGTTCTTGCTGTTCCCTGATAAATATTTCTCCCCACTCGGGAATCGAACTCGGGTCTCCTGCCTGCGTGAGCCAAACGCCTAACCGCTACACCACAGCCCCTAGGCTAGGTGGTCACGTTATAACACCCTTCAGGGGAGACAACTGGCGACCAAACAGAATCGTGAACTTTTCGGATCTAGTGAAAACAAGCATGCACGCAGGGGACTCCAAATTGTCGGATCATACTATTGATATATTATTGCCTAATACATGAACATCTTGTAGCACGATTGTTTTCACAGAAACTGCTACATGTCATAAACAAACATACCAACATGTGAATAAATAAATACGTGTATAAGCAGAAGTGTATTATAAAATCCAGACAATTTCAGTTCTTTTTCTCTTAAGTTTTAGTCGAGTTTTTAGGGCGCTCGCAACTGCATAAGGTCATATGAGCGCCAAGGGGTGGGTGTCAACAGAGAAGTCCAAACGGGGAATCAGGCTTACTCTGCTCACCTCTCTAGCCTCAACAGCACAAAGTCTGCTTCGACCATCAAGGCACCCTGGAAATAGCGGGTCACAAGAGGGTGACAAACATACAAAAGAAGTAGAGGAGAATGACGATAGTAAGGATGAGGGAAAAAAAGTAGCAGTTTCCTGTAGCAGTTCGGGCACAGTATGAGCATGGCATTGATAAATCAGCCCAGTTACAATTCTACTGTACATAAGAACATGTTAGTATCCCCACTTTGGGAATGGCCTAAAGACATTTCAGTCAGTAGCACAGATGCAACGGAGGAAAAGAAATGAGGTGAGATGTTAAAGTGGCGCCCTCCAACCACCCACAACAAAAAAGTGGGTGCTGGCTCTAAATAGGTTGACTAAGCTCAAAGCTAGAGGATAAAACAAGTACACAGACAAGGAATGAGCCAATCGCTCTCGGTGTCTTTGGCGACCCTACCTGTGACCCTGTCTGCCACTGGGATTTTTGTTGGGGTTTTTTTTTCTGTGTCTTATTTAAAAAGTTATTGTGGCTATTGATGCTGTTGTTGCTGGAATCTAAGACCATTCTAAACACAATGTGGGTCAGTTGATATGTCAGAACATTGGCTCCATCATCAGAATATAGGACTGAGAGAGAGAGAGAGAGAGAGAGAGAGAGAGAGAGAGAGAGAGAGAGAGAGAGAGAGAGAGAGAGAGAGAGAGAGGTGCCTAATTTGTAGATAAAGAATGGCAGTCTATTATGACTGTGGTTGTCAACACTGTGGGCCTGTACCGTATACGTAACACTAAACAACAGTGTGCTGTTTCCATGGCTGCAAGACTCTTGACATGGGGCATGAAACAAACATTGATTGGGTCACTCTGAGGTCACAACCCACATATAATCACCCGTAATAGGAAATCTCGACAGTTGTCACCCGCCGGGTAACCCGCTCCACGCGACAGTCGTCTTTGCCTGTCTTTTTTCGTCTGGAACCACGACAGGAATCTGTGAAATTCCATATGCCCTCCACACTTTTAAGGTCACGCGCAACTAGATATCTAATCAAATTTTTTTTAGCGAGTTAGTCTGTTGGGACTATGAAAACTTTTACCTAAAGAGTACCTGACTGTACTGCCAAGTTGCGTGCCCCTCAGAGCTCTAGAGTAAATTGACTCCTTCGGTTCCAACGGTGACGAGGGGACATTCACAGACCGCCCCGCTTGCCCGCGCTTGTCGAGGGTAAATTTAGCTTTGATTGTTCCGAACGAAGGATCTTTCAGGGGACCAGTTTGTAACTTCTCCGCGTGGGGTATGCTGCCCTCAAACTTGTGATTAGGCTGTGATTTCTGATTGAATAGAAACGCCTGCCACTGCCAGTAACAAAAGCGTGAAAGTTACAAGCTGAGTTCGGGCGAGGGTGTCCCTCCTAATTCTCTATTAGCCCAATTGATCAATTCAACGTCCAGAAACGATTTCAGATTGGAAAAAAAATTGTGAAAGACTTGGATATACTCTATACGTTATTACATGAAGAGCGTAGATCTTTAGTATATGCCCATTAACTACATATTGAATTTGTGCAATATCACACTTCCACATTCTATAATTATCTCCGGTATTCAAAAGGCTTGTGAAATTTTCTCTTCCTAGAATAAGTCTTTGTTAAAGGAACGTATTCAGAAAGTGCATCTTTTCACGACTTGAGATTCTCGAGTGTTGGACTGAATGACCCACAGTGAGGAGAAAGGACATTCGAGCCAATGACCCGCTGTGTGCGTGTGTGCGTTAAATTGATAAATGTTAACAAGGGAACAATTTCGAAGATTGAATTTGCTGCTTGAACAAGTGTAAAATAATATTATTGAACGGTGCGAGACTACATTATAGTTAAAGGATTGTCCAGTTTTATTTCATTATAGACCAAAGACAACCAGTTTAATTGTTCCCAGAACCCAGTTTGACACCTTATGACTTAATGGTTGAGAATTTCTCCGCTAATTGTTTTGGATTGCTTACTTCGATTCGTGGTGGAAAGGAATAAATTATAACGGTATTGTAAAGTAAAACGTTGGCATTCTTCCTCTTCCTTCTTTAGTCTTTTTTCTGAAGTGAATCAACGGGGATTTCTGGGATATATCTGCCCAATTTTAGAAACATTTTTACCCAGATTCATTGTCACCTGTTTTCACCTCGGAGAGGTGGTGGTTTCTCGCTTTCACAAACTGTGTTCTGTAACTGTGAAGAACAATTGACAGCCTAAACTATGAGGGGCTCTATCAAAGTTCTGAGAGGGAGCATCAAAGTAGACCCTTCCTGCTTCCCTCTTGAGGTGAGTTGTGTTCTTTTGAATTTAATAATGGTGTGGAGGTGGTCGTAGTGTATGTGTGTGTGTGTTTGTGTGTGTGTGTGCGTGTGTGT